ACTCAAAAAAATTAGCACATTCTTGCCAATATTGTTATTTTTGCTGTGTAAAATCTGATGAAAAAACCTACTCACACCATGCTTGAACTTCTGACCTAAATAAGTGCAAACTAATAAATAAGTATTGTTTAAAAAAAGTAATTGAAAAGAGTAATTTATATCAGAACACAGCACCTGAGAAGTAAATTTCATGTGTTAAATGAGAAATTTGCTCACTTATTAATATGTGCCAATTTTGGTTTTTTGGATCAACTAAAAGTTGGCTTGGAATATATTCATGAAATTTTTGTTTTTGCAATAAAGTGAAGTAATAATGCTAAATCAATGAAGATTGATTCTGTGGTCTATATATTCACCTTTTTAGCAATGCATAGACACATACATTGCAGAACCTTTTTTATATAACAGATATAATGCCAACAAAATTTCAAGATCTTAAATTTTTAAATTTACATTAATCATGGACTTAAAAATATACTATGTCACATATAGAGATTTCAGCCTAAATATATTAAGGTCTTTCTCAGTGCAGAGAGCTGAATTGATTAGTTATACCTCTCCCAGAGAAGCTTGCTTTTAGGAAAATTGGTGGGCAGGAGAACAAAAGGACTATGCAGTTTTCCTGGGATAGACATTCCATAGGCAAACCTCATGCCACAGTTGATAAGGACAACCAGTGGACAGATCAACTTTCTTCTTTTAATCTAGGTTATGCTTTCTTTTGTGAGATACTTGAAGTCCTAACAGTATCTCTGCATCAGTTACTGTATAATAATACACAGAGCAATTGATAACAGAAGGAGTATATACCAAGGATGCCTAAGGAAGCCGGTTGTAAAATACACACTAGTGAAAGTGACACATAAGACTTTTGTCATGTATGGAGCAAAGAGTAGATCATTCACTAAGTGGTACAAAATGTTATCATATTAGCTTTGGAATAGGAGAGCAGCAGCCCTGCCACTTGCGATGGATTTGGTGAGACTGCTGTTCTTTGATATATTAGAAGTGGGAAGAAATATATGGCATTTGTGCAAGCCTCAATGGGGGAATTGCAATATGGTTCTTTACTTTCTTAGTCACAGGTAATGCCATATGTGGTGCAGGACTGTAGGCTTGAAACAAAAAAACAAAAAACAACTCCTAATATGCTACTGAGCATTTGTAAGGAAGGAATGACTTGACCAAGGGATCCTAATTGGATCATGTAGGTATGTGATCAGAACTATCCATCACAATCTGGCTCCTGACCAACTAAAGCATAATGTCTTGCTGCTCAATAACAGCCTATCAAATGAAGTGGTGCATCTAAGATGGATAGTGTTCTGTCTGCAGTTCTGCATTTAGTTGGGTGAGGATTTCTAGAGCCTGCAATGGAGCTTAACTATTTTATTTGCTCATTTCTGCTTCCTCCTCACCCTTTTCATAAGTATTGATCCCTAATATACATCTTAAATCTTACTCTTCATTTAAAATTTATTTTTGTACACATGAGTTTTAAATTCTTCACTTAAAATTTATTTTTGTATACACATACCTCCCAAGTCTCTAGGGTTATAGGCATGTGCCACTGTGCCTGGTGAATTATCTCTTTAAAGGACTTACTGACTCAATGAAATCACATTATTAATTATCTTATGAAAAATTCAACCAGAAAGTACTAAAATTAATATTTTCTATCCTCCTATCCCACTAAATTTCAAATTTCCCTCCACTGTAATATACTACTGACACTTGACATATTGAGATTGATATGGCACCCTTGTTCTACTTGTTGAGTTCATATGCTAATAGTGAAGATCAGAAAATTCTAATGGGTGCAATATTTATTAGACGTGACATGAAAATAAATATATATACTGTATAATATAATGCAAGAAATATGGTTATTGCTTCCTTGTCACTCATCCTAGGGAAATGGAATTTTAGTGTGAGGTTACTTCCGAGAAGGAATGGAAGTAAAAGCACATTCTGGATGATTCAGAATAAAAGAGCAATATCTGTCAGTGTTGAATGGCCATAAGCCTTCCTGATGAGAAATATGTGATGAAAGTTGAATTATCTCCCCCCTTTTTTTTTTTTTTTTTTGGTACCTGGGATTGAACTCATGAACTCAGGGCACTCTAACACTGGGCCACATGCCCAACCCTATTTTTTTATTTTATTCAGAGACAGAGTATCACCAAGTTTCTTAGCACCTCATTTTTGTTGAGGCTGGCTTTGAACTTTGGATCCTCCTGCCTCAGCCTCCCAAGCCGCTGGCGTTATAGGTATGTGCCACTATGCCTGATGAATTATCTCTTTAAAGAACGTACTGACTCAATGAAATCACCATCACTCAATGAATATATGTGTGCTTAACGGAGAAAGTTCAAGTCAAAACTATGTTACACATTCTAACAATCAAATCATTGCTGTCAATTTATAATAAACATAATTATAAATATTTACATTGCATTTCATATTTGTATAAACATAAACAAATTGTTATTCTGATGAATGTACTATATATATATATATAAAGAGATGATACATATTTTTAGTGAAGGAAGAGTAATGCCACATACATATCCTTCAATATTAGGAGCAGTTCAAATCGAGCTAGTTTACAAAGTTTGTGTCCTTACTATCCATTAAATTTGTGTGTCCCTTTGGGTCACATATTTGTATCTATGCCTAATATCCAAACAGGAGAACTATACTAAAGAATGCTTAAAAATATGGTTCTCTTTAAAACATGGGATTTTATATATATAATGAGATCATAATGCTATTATGACATGTAAATTTGACATTAAATAAATAAGATTGCAAAGGTTACTTAATCCAATTTTGGGAGAGAGCATCTGCTCAGCAATAGGTAGCTCTATAGGAAATGGAATGGATGTAAGAGAAGATGTAAGTGCTAAATTCTATATATTTTAAGTCTGCTGTATGCAGGACTCAACTGAATTATTTTTATACCTACAGACAACAAAAAAACTATAATATCTGCCAAATATATTGATAAATAATGAAATGAAAAATTCAAAAAACAAGGCTTAAAGCAGGAATCAAAAATATTTGTGCTACACTGAGTTGAAATTATGCAATGATTTGATTACATAGTTTTTATGACCTTAGCCTGGTTTAAGTTACTTGGTAACATATCAGTGAAAGAAGAGCTGACTATGGAAACAGAAAAAAAAAGCAAAGAGAAAGTATCAATGCAAATATTTTCCTCCAGTGAAAGTGAAAAAACCCATGGGTCAGGATTTTGAAGTCTCATTGAGGAGCTTTAAGCAGTCTTAATCTGAGATTGTTAAATATCCTGTTCATGCTGTGATTTTCCTTGCTCATGCTCTAGATTCATCAAGCACGTTTTAGTCACATTTTCTTTCCTATGTATTATAAGAAAAGGAAATGAATGCCCTAATTTCTGGTATAGTGATTTCTCATTATAAATTAACAAATGTGCTTTGTTATTATATATCCTTCTCATAAGCATAGAAATCTGCTTCCAACAATTACCTGGGGTTTAAAGTCACATTTTGAACTTGGTGAAATTGGCTACAGTAAACCATTATAAATTGTCCATGAGGCTGTCACTTTCTAAGTTCAGGGAGAGTCAATTCACCTTCTATCCAGCCCTGTTTAATTCCTGGAATATTCAGACTTAACATTACTTTTCTTCATGGTTATACTTGAGAACTCTACTGTATAAGAATTAATTTATTTTCTCTGTCACTCACCTAATATCTGCTATATTTTCTCTATCTTGAAAAATTAAATATATTTAAAAAAAAAGATATTCTTGAATCCAAGTTAATTTTTTTTTCTCTTTTACTAATGTCCTTGATTTCACTCACACTTTCCATTTTAGGCATAATACTATTATTGTTTTTTTTAAATAAATCTTCTCTCCTGAGACACATTAAGTATGCACAAAGAATGTTAACTATCCAAAATTTTTCATCATTAAAAGAAATAATAAGGATTCACCTGTTTGGGGGTATTGTTTGAAGTGTGTGGTAAATGAGTGATGATCGATTCATTAATATTTCTCATATTTTTATGAAAAACTCTGAAGTTGAATTCAGTTGAAACTAAAAAAAACAAGTAAACACTGGTGGCCCTTGAGCTATTAGTTACTCTTCTTCATGTTCTCTAATATGGTTCCATCCATTCTTCTCAGAAGGGCTCAGGCCTGAAACCCTATACTACACATGTGAGAGCCAAGGCAGAGTCCCGAGAGGAAGGACAGTATGTAGTATTAATTTCCTCAACATTTTATGCTATTCTTTTGGATGACTCAATGTACCTCTGTGTCCTAATCAATAGAATCCAATACTGGAAATTTCTTATTATTTCTTGATATAGTTTCTTCTTCTAAAGAACTGACAAATCACATTTTCACAATTCTACATAAGTGAATAGAAGTTTCACAAATTGTTTTGACATTTCAGAATCAGTGAATTCTATCATTCAAAAATGATATGGTTTGTGAAATAAATTTTTGTACATGATTTTTTAAAGATGTCTTCATGAATGGACACATATTGCCTATATTTTATATTAAGAATTTACATGTATTTGTGAAAAATCATTAGTAATAAAAAGCACACATTCACTCATCAAATATAACATGTTAGCAATTGTCTTTTCACAGGGCAAGTTTTAAAAAGGATAATTTCCACAAGAATAAAAGTTTGGTGATTCTGGTAAACCTTTTCATCTGTAATAATGGCAATTTAGGGTATAGCTCAGAGGTGGATCACTTGCCTAGCATTTGCTAACACCTGAGTTCAATGCATAATACTTCAAAACACAAGTGGAAAAATAAATAAATGGTAAAAACTTTCTACTCTATCTTAAGTTATTCTTAAGGATAATGTGTCACTGGAAATGTCCTTCCAATCCCACTGCATTTCAATTAAAATATGGAAAATGAAAGGTTAATCACATAGATACACTGAATATCAGCATGAATTAATCAACATATTTTGAAATCATTGACTCACTTTGAACTCCATGGGAGCGTACTATTTTCCAGGTTTCTGATGCCACTTCCTTGACATCCACTTGATAGTGATGAATAGGCACACCTCCATGGGAGTCCGGCTTGCTGAAAGAAAGTTTGGCTGTGGTCTGTGACAGCTCTATAATCTTTACTCCATAGGGACTGGATGGCACATCTGTGAAGGAACAAACACAATGGACACATAACCTAGTTTAACGTAGATGGACATTATTAAGTCTTGCAGTGTCATGAGAATTAAGAGTGAAGGAAAATTGCTGAATATATCACTTAGTGTGTTTAAATTACAATGTCCACTTAAACACTCCAATTGGCTCTTAATAGCAAGAAAATTACACAAGTGCATTTCTATTACCACAGCAAATAACAATAAAACATTCAGCAAATTAACTAAAATATTCACTTATTCAGAAAATATTTTATTTCCATAGTTTTATGTAAGGACAACATTTTTTTTGATGTCAAGGAAAACAAGTTTGTGCGTTATTATTAAAACAAGTTTGTGCGTTATTATTAAAACAAGTTTGTGTGTGTATTAGTCTGTGTGTGTATGTTTGAGAGAAAGACTGACACAAATAAAGAGAGACAGATATTAGAGGTAATATCTGTCTTTACCTCTAAAGGGGAATAATTAAAATGTAAAATAAATCTATTATTTGATCATTACAAATATTTTTTTGTGAAATGTTTTAATTTTAGAGAAAATGTTAATATGCTTATTTTTTAATGTTTTGTTTACATTTTAATCAGTGCATTATAATCATACACAATGCTGGGATTGGATATTGTGTATTCATATATGCACACAATACAGTATGATTTGGACAAGATCATTTCCTGGCATAATCCCTTTTTCTCCTTTTCTCCCTCCACTTGGTCCCTTTCCTCTACTGTATTGATCTCCCTTCCATTTTCATGAGATCACCATCAAAATTCTTTCCATTTTACCTCTCTAGCTTCCACATGTGAGGGAAAACATGACCTTTAACTTTTTGAATTACAGATTATAAATTATACCATCATTTATAATGCACTTAATTAAAGGAAACCTTTAGTTGAGTTATTAAGGTTTTCTTTTTTTTCTTTTTTTCCAATCAGGGATTAAATCAAGGGGTGCTTAAGTACTGAGCCACATTCCCAGCACCTTTTTTATATTTTATTTAGAGACAGGGTCTTGCTGAGTTGCTTAGGGCCTTGCTACATTGCTGAGGCTGACTTTGAACATGGGATCCTCCTGCCTCTGCCTCCTGAACTACTGGGATTATAGGCATGTGCCATCACACTTGGCTGAGTTACTGAGTTATTAGTCCATTTTAAAGAATTTCTAATAATATTTTTTGAATGTATAACTCCATTGGTTACATTATTTCACATTCAATAACATATACTAGGTGGAAACTTATTTTAGCTTCTAATGTACAAAACTTCCTTGGAAAGAGTTCTCTTAAAGGCAGAACAAGTAGAACAAAATGAGAAAAAAAAGTCTCAATAAGGAAATTACTGAAAGTTATGCTCTAGAAACATCAAAATATGGAGTAATTTAAATCATTAAAGGGATTTCTCTCTTAATTCTTTTCCCTCTTTTCTATATTATGTTTGAAATAAACTTTGGAAAAAGAAGCAGATATAGATATTTTCAGAAAGAATCTATACACACAGATATTTTGTCAATGTACATTTCTATCCTGATATCAATTAGGTATTCATGTAAAAATTGCTAAGGCAGTCAAAAGTCAAATGAGCCATGTTTGCAAGAGTTAGGAAAGTGTACACCAGAACACATCCAATTATGTCTTATCATGGTTCTAGGCAAAAGCTAGGATTACAGGATTATGGCCTTTTGGACCAATATTACAAAAAAATGCCTCACTATATAGTTTAACTGAAAGTCACTTAGAGATGCTATGAAGTACATTTTGTTATAACTATAATGTTCAAATGTAGATGTGTTGAATAATGATGGCACCAAAGTCACAGTACTATTACAATCTTATCTAGAAATACAAAATTCAAGTCATCTAGATAATAATGTATTAAGCTGTTAGACATAAAATATTTTCTCAGTTTTCATATTTTTTACTGTCTAGGTTAAACTACAAATATTTTCATATGTAGCTTTAATCCAAAATGAGAAGGAAATCAAACAAACATGGAATGCCCTTAGAAGACGAACAATAATTCAAACCACACTGAGCAACTGTCCTACATCCTAAATTGGCATTGGTCTAAATTGGCATCATAGCAATTAGCATAATCCTCAATTCAGAGACGTGTGTCAAAAGTGAAGGTAGTAGACTCTGGGGGATGAAGAAGAAACGTTTTACTTCTGACATTGGCAGAATATACATGATCCTTTGTATGCACCACTCAAGAAGAGATGAACCCTGATGTGGTGCAACTGGAGAAAAATAAAGCCTCCACTCTTTTAAGCACAAAGTGAGCATCACTCAATATTGGCCATAGGCTTTCCTTTTCTAGTTATATAGTCTATTTTCAGATCTGTTGACTCTTGACCTTGATTTTTGAAATGTATACTACCTTTGTTGTGCTCTTCTATTATCAGATTAAAAATGAAAGAATTCTTATATCATGCAGATCTTGTCTTTTTACTTTTTCTTTTTACATTCTGAGTATATATGTTCTATTACTTACTGACTACTGAATTATATTTCTTCCAGAAAGTAACAAAACTTTTATACATACACATATATTTATACAGACATCTCTCTATATAAAAGTAACATTGAGCAAAATAACTAAACTAAGTCCTCAGAAAACATTTGATAAATGAAAAGTCAGAAATTAAAAATGACATGCAAACTATGTGAGGTGTAAAAACTATGTGAGACACTATATTTGTTACTCAGGTAAACTGAACCATTTCACATTGTGTGCATACTTTAAGACCTCATGATTTATGTGGTAAGTGCATACAATTTGTCTGTCAACCCTGAAAGTAAAGAAAAAAAATAATACAGATACAGAACATGTCCAAGTGTCTGGAATTCAATATTTTGAATTTTTCTCTTCACTTTCTTAATAATTTGGTGACCATCTTAATCCTATTTTATGCATATAATAGTTATTCACCACATTATTTTAATAATATCTGCATTAATTCTTGTATCTATCTTGTCCTCATTTCTAATACTAACCCCCAAACTTTGGACCTACATGCCTCTGTCTGTAATGACATTTAGTTTCCTTTTCTATTGGATTCACCACAAAAACTTCAATACGCATGGCATGTAAATGCAGTATTAGTCTTTCCAAAGAATCACTCTAATTGCTTCCCTGAAGGGGACATTCAGGCATTTCATTCTCATTATAACATCAATCTTAGCCTTTTCTATCTTTCTCTCAATATCCTAGATTATCTAACATGCGGAATGTATGCAAACAGAAGAATACTGTGGAAAAGCTATCAACATAGTCCAGTATAGACGTTCAAAACCACACGCAGTACTTCCGTCATTGTTAGCATGTATTTTTAAACCTCTTTCTAGCATCTTTTATCTCAATGATTAATGAATGCCATCCCACTGAATGAATAAATGATCACTCTTTCTTTTCAATTCTACTGGTACTGGTATAGCATTGGACTAAGAGATTGGATATGGGATCAGAATTTATGGATCCAAAACGTGGCTTTACCAAATTCTCAATGGCAATCTTTAACTAATTCCTTAATCTTGCATTATTCTCTTTAAAATAGAAATTTGAATAATATCTATTACTAGAATTGGGGGGGAGGTGTCAAGTGACAGAATGTGTAAAACAGAAACTGGAATACACTGAGCATTTGGTGGATATCACTTACTATAATTTCTGCTGTCTCCTGGTAACTACCTGCCTTCTATTGCATCTCTCTCATCAATTTACAAACATCAATATTTCCATGAAATTGTAAGTAATTGGTACAATACCAAGGTTCGATATCGAAAATTTTTCTTTGCCTAATAGTAGAGAGATAGTGTCATGATCTGGGTTTCAGACAGAAACAATCTCTGAAGGCCCTGTAGGACCCTGGGCACATGACACATATTGTGTATTTATTTCCTAATGAGCAAAAGAACAACAATAATATTAATATTAAAGCTGTGATAGTAAGTTGATGGATATAAATCACTCTGCATTCACAAATATAATTTTCCCTCATCTTCTTCTAAAAAAGTTATCTACATATAAATAATATTGGTAAACATTTTGATATTTAAACTTATGTCTGGTACCATATATTGATTGAAGTATAAATGTGACAATATAAAAAAAAATCTGCCTTGTTGATAAGTTAACTTCATAAGATACAGAGAAAAAGTGGGGGAGAGTTTTTTTCTCTTATTTGATAAAATAAAGGAATTCAATAAATAAAGAAGAATTAAAGTATATGCAGGGCAATAAAGTCTGGAAACAGATTTAAAAGAGCACATTGAGTGTGTGTTCCCTGTTTAATAAGAAAGCATCTCAAAATGATGATAACAAAATAAAAAAATCTTAAAACCATACATTTGAATATACTACTGGTGTGGACAAAGAGGCAGACAGCAGAGGAGATCTGAATAAGGACATTTTTAAAATGACGCTTCTGCTTTACTCAATATCACTTTGGCTACCTGGAATCTTTTGAGGTTTTATATGAATTTTAAGATTTTTTTCTATTTATATGAAGTGCACCACTGATATTTTATTTTGACAGAGATTATACTGGATCTCTACAATGCTTTGGGTATTATGAACATTTTAGAAGTATTATTCTTCTAGTCCATGAACAGGGAATATCTTTCAACTTACTTGTGTCTTCTTCAATGCCTTTCATCAGCGTTTCATAGTTTATGTGATAAAGATATTTAAACTTCTTTATTGAGTGATTACTAGAAAAATAATTTTATTTTTGTAGCTATTACAGATAGGATTGCTATCTTGATTGCTTTTTTTTTTTAGATACTTGCCTTTTTATATAGAAATGCTATTAAATTTTTATGTTGATTTTATGTCAAGTAATTTGCTGAATTCATTTATTATCTCTGACAGTGTTTGGGTAGAATATTTATAATTATCTATACATAAAATCATGTCACCTGAGAAGAAGGACAGTTTGACTCACTCTTTTCAAATTTGGAAGTCTTCTTTATTTATTATTATTTTTTTATTGGTTGT